TATAGGTCGTTAACGTGCTAATCAAATTTTTTGATCCCGATTATAAACTTACTCTTTTAACTAAGCATATTATTTCAACGACACAATTATAACACATGGGTCAGTCCAAATACACAATTAATTATAATCGGCCATTTTGCAAATATTTAGTTATTTTGTCCTGATAAGTATTATCAACTAACGCCAACAAAAATTACTTTTGGTGCCTGCATTAGATGAACCTGAAAGAAATATTTTTGTCAATTAAAATACACTTAACAGTCTTCTCATTAGAGAAAAATTGGTTCATCTGTTACATAACTGTCCTCCCCCAGGCACGGCCCCAGTTACCTGTGTCAGGTGATCGGGATCTCCACCCACTTCCTGTGGCTGTGAATGTTTGTCTGGACGTTCATCTGTACCTTCCACGCCTTCACCGTATTCAGGAGCACACGAGTCATCTCCCTTGTCTTGACCCATTAAGAGTTGTGTATGTTAATTAACTAAACGAGTGGTCTTCTCCTTGGCTGTCCCAGCTAGCATCGTCACCACGGTCGTCGTGTCAAGCTTGGCGACATCGGGCTACACGACGATTGGATACGGAAACGGCCGATGTTACTTAAACTCGCCTTTTCTAATTAGTATGTTTACATGAATACGATGTTTAATTTATGGCAAGTAAAATAATATAAAATATATAGTCTATTCAAATGTATATACCTTATTTAAAAGAGACCTGATTATTCCCTTCCCCAGTAGTATCCATGGTTGTCCCTCTGGCCATCATTGTCCTCTGTAACGTTGGCCTCTTTGTTCCAACTTTGATTACAATCTACACGACCCGGGCCATGATGGCCGACAGGTACAATTGGGTCAATGACCTGTATATGTACATCACATCTACAGGAGTGTTTTGGACAGTTGCTATCTTGTCTGAGGTTAGAGGTAACGATGTTCTCAGGTAGGTTATAAACAGTGATGTTCTCATGTAGGCTACAGACAGTGATGTCTCAATGTTGATGGGTCTAAATAAAATGTTTATCTATTATTGTGGTTATGCGCGTATTAGTGTGTGTATGACTGTTCATCTCTACTTTTGTATTATTGAGTATATCTAAAATTTATTATTGTTTTTTGTGTTTCAGTTTTTGGCAATATTTTATTTTCTTGTAGTAGATGAGGTGTGTCTGCGAATGTAAATATTGCAACAAAATGTCTGAGTTTGGAATGTTTACATTTTAATCATTATTGTGATAACCACCCCATGTACACCCCACAGGTATATCTCCATGGTGTTGCTGATAATCCCCCTGTCTTAAATTCCACAGGTATATCTCCACAGTGTTGCTAATAATCCACCTGTCTTTATCTCTGAGTTAGATCTCCATGGTGTTGCAGATAATCCCCCTGTCTTTACCCCACAGGTATATCTCCATAGTATTGAACGGTTTTCAAGGAGTTGCCATCTTCACTTCCTATATCGCCAACAGACGAGTCATGCTGCTGTACTGCAAGAATGTTCTTCAACTAAAAGAGAATATGACATCTGTGTCTAAGTGAACAAATGACTCTTTTCTTTTTATCAAACCTTCTAGATAGTAAGCAGTTTATATAGAATATTGAAATTTAGTAAAATAAATTAATAAAATATCCAAAATTTGATTTATAATAGTCTTAAGTTTTAGAATGCATTTGTTCCCAATATTATAAAACAATTCAGGATTTTGTGTTTCAATGTGTTGCGGTTTTGTAGTATGTCTAGCCGTCTGTGTTATCAGTCATTGTGTTTTTCCCCAAGTGTTTTTTATTCATCTTTGTACGTTTTTTCCATTGTTCTGATGATGCCTATATCTCAATGTTCTTTGTTGTTTAAATATGATCTCCTTCTGGCTACAGTTTCATTATGAATGTTCACATAATAAACAAAACACCCACCACCTTGTACACAGAATGTATAAACTTTCTAGCTCCGATCTTGTAAACTAATAACGCTAGGTTGGAATTTAAGTTAACTTTGAGTAATTGGTTGAAAAGCTGAAACCACGTCTCCTATCACCACACCATCCTCATATGCAATTCTTCATCTCACGACTACGTCAAATGCATTGTTCTAAGCCATCTATTATTTAGAGGTGTTCTAGATAATACAGTAATGGGGCTTATAAATTTAGGAATGAATATCAAGCATCTTTCATATCTTATATCACGAATATCATGAATATGTATAACTTCTATTGTAATATTCACCTAAGGTGTGATTAAAAATGGTTTATATTTCATTTAAATAGTCATCATATTAATTTTAATAAACATTATTCAAAGTATTTCTAGCCTGCAATTCATTTATTTTATGATTATTTCTAAAATAAGAACATATTGAATCGACAATGCGCATATTATTAAAAGAGAATAATAAGCAGCTTTTTGAAAACCTAGTTTCAATATCAAAGTAATATTAATAACATAAGTTTACTTTGTGGGTTTATTTAAACATTTTTTTCTTCAAAATTTAGATAATTATTTTAAAAAAAACATTTCTGAACTAGAAAAACTAGTGATATTGTTTAAAAAAAGTAATTTTTTTTTAAAATTGATCATTGTGTTCTTGAGATCAAAGAGTTTTCATAAATATTATTTAATTAAAAGAAGAAAAAAAATGAGTAATCAAGTCGTTAGCGTAGACAATTTTCATCACTTAAGAAAAATAAAGTATTATTCCCTGCTAACAAACAACATTAAAAATTCAGTGTTGTTTTCAGATAGGCTACAGTGATGTTTTATAGTGGGCTACAGTGATGTTCTATAGTACGCTACAGTGATGTTCTCAGGTAGGCTACAGTAATGTTTTATTTTAGGTTACAGTGATGATCTATGGTAGGCCACAGTGATGTTCTAATGTAGGCTAGTTTGATTTTCCTAGGTTGGCTAGAGTATTGTTTACATGTAGGTAGGTTCCACGGTTAGAAAGACAAAATACGCTTGCTGGTTGATTAACATTTACATAATTTTCCAGCCATTGCTTCTGAACTTAGAATTAGGAACTGTATCAAATCTCGTGTGTTGATTTATTTAAGTCTCCTAGACAAGCACACGTGAAGACTCAACCAAACCCGAAAACTTTTGCACCAAATTAGAATATAAACCAGACAGTTACACGTAGTGCAACTCTTAAGCTCAGGAAATAAAGTACCAAATTAGAATCTTACCAAGACAGCCAGTCTATATGTCGCCGTTAAGATTACGATTTTATGCACCAAAATTTTATCCCTTAATTTTGTACAAAACTTCAAACAGGAGTATACCCCACCTTCATCTGTCTATGTATTTTTAAATATAGATATGTAATTTTATTTGAAAGGTTTACAGAGAATATTTCATCTATAATTCTAATTAGTTTTTACGATATTCTTTAAAACTAGATTTTTACTAGTCTATTTAGTATTTTAATGTTTCTATTATATCGTTAGAGTGCCTTTATAAAGTTTCTAGAATGCTTCTATAAAGTCTCTAGATCGCCTTTATTTCTGCAATGCCTCTATAAAGTCTCTGGAATGCCTCTATAAAGTCTCCATAACGCCTTTATTTCTACGATGCCTCTATGAAGTCTTTAGAATGCCTCTATTAAATATTTAGAATGCCTCTATAAAGATTCTACAAGACATCTGCAATCATCTCTAATGCTTATGCAAGAGCAATATGTTGACAAATTACTGTAACATTTTTCTACAGGAAGTAATTTATTGTTATAGACATATCTGTTAGGTGTGTTATATGAATGCATACAATACTTCTTTTAGTTTCAATTCTATTTCGGAGCAAACAATTTCCGGGGTTCCCCATTGGTCGAAATATGATAAAAATGGGTAGCAGAAGCCTAAAGGTAGCTCTTGAACAACATTATTACGACACGAAATATTGGGGCCAATGCATATCTTTTTATCAAAGCAGAAGTGATATGAATAACAGAACTCACTGAGGGAGAAGGGGAAGTTAAATATGTAATTAGTCGAAAGGTTTTTCCATCTGCTCCTCTATACAAACACTTGAACGACGGATATCGCATACCAGCCCACACCCACCCCACACGTGAGCTGAACGTGTGTGTGTGTGTGTGTCCCTCACTCTGTTTGCTTGAACCGAAGCGGGGATCCTAGCTGAGATTATCATGGACCCTGTAATATTTTGAACATAATACTAATGTTAGTTTTGAACAATGTTCAAGTCACCTCACATCCAGCGACTCAATGTTACAACGCGTTCAGCCACTCACATATTTTGCCCCCAGAAGTAACATGGCTGTATAATAAAGTCAATGTGCATCTTGTTTTTGGTACATATTTGTTTGTTTTTGTTTTTTAAAGAGAAAACTGTTCGTAGAATAAAAAATCGAATTAATTCTATAAAAACCATAGTATTGTTATTGAAACTATAGTGAAGATAAGTGTGAAAAGACGCAAGGGTTAAAAGGTCATTAAGATCCCATTATGTCCGTCGTTACGAAACGAAAGCTCCAAAGTCAAACAGACATGTTACATATTATTGTTACGTATTTTTCAATAGGGCGAAGACAGCGGGGAATAAACGGGTTTAACAAGGGTAGAAGTAGGCGGAAAAATGTAGTGAGCTGATCAAAAAGACAAAAGCTATCGCACAGACAGTCCACCAAGACTGCAGGAAAGATAAAAACCGTAATTAATCACGCTCAGTATCTCGGATGTACACAAATCCATCACACCGTATTTTAGAGCGATATTATTTTATATTGTTTAAAACGTTCCCGGAAACACTGGGTCATTAATAGAAAACAAAACCGAAAGCCTAGAGTACAAACCGGTATCTTCGACACGTAGAATAAATACACAAGTTATATTTTACTACCAGAATTTACCACACATAACCCACTCATGAAGGCCGTCTCAACCGTCAAGTATATTAAATAATAATAGCTGAAAATATTTTTTGTCAATTAATATTAAAATCACAATTACAAATTAAAAGAGAAAAATTAACAAAAATTACACCATGTCCTTTTTAATTAAATAAATATATAATTTACAGCTAGGTGCATTTGGCTTAACTGTACCATAGTGATAGTATCATGTAAATAATTATAAGCTATGTCAAGGAAAGCTTTAAATAAACCAAAATGGATTTCTGATTTGCAGTAAAGAATAGGTTTGTGTGTGTGAAATTAAGGCAAGCCATTGGGAATACATATCTATTGTTGTTATCAGCAAGATAAAGTCTAGGAAGTGAGGATTTAATATGGATTTGTGGTTGTCTGCAAGATAAATAATAGGAAGTGAGGATTTAGAAACAGTGAAAAAACTGTTTTAACGAGAGGGATTCTCTTGAATTTTAAATGATGGGGTACAGAGCGTTTGAGGCTATCCCACAATTGTTGTTCTGGTTTCTGATCATCTTGATGTAGCCGCTCAGTCCCCAAGATACACCCCAGCTGTGGAAAAGAACAAAAACATGACCTTAGATTTTAAAAAAAAACATGACCCCAGCTGTGGAGAACGAAAACATTACTCCGGATGTGGAAAACAAAAGAAAGTAGAAAAAAGATGTAGAAACCAAAAACATGACCCCAGATGTAAAAACAAAAACATGACCCCAGATGTAAAAACAAAAACATGACCCCAGATGTAAAAACAAAAACATGACCCAGATATAAAACAAAAGCATTACCCCATATGTAAAAACAAAAACATGCATAGATCCCACATGCAGAGAACCCACATTTAAAGACCCCACATGCATAGACCCCACATGCACAGAACCCACATGCATAAAAACCCCACCTGATGCTAATTCACAACCAAAAACAACAGTCTCAAATACCTGTTTTTGACAATCCAATAGTCCTGAGCGCCGTCTGTGTCATAACCCACTACCAGCACCGCATGATCGAGCATTTCTCTAGAGCACATAGGCTCATAGTACACACCTCCACCATACAGCTGGAAGGACTGATGACTGGCGTCTATAGTAACGCTGATGGGCCCAACCTGTCAAATGAAAATATGAAACGGTGACTGGCGTCTATAGCAACACTGAATATAAAATGGTGACTGGCGTCTATAGCAACACTAAATATATAAAAGGGTGACTGACGTCTATAGCAGCATTGATGGGCCAGATCTGTCAAATAAATATTCAAAGATGTCTACAGAAAAGTGTATCAACCCTACGTGTAATAGACTCTATGGCTAATGCAGTTCCAATATTATACTCAAAGCCTTCCATTTAAAGTCAAGTTACGGACCACTTTCTCTTTCTCCTAAGAAACATTTTTTTACTATCTTTTACCATCTCGAAATCTTTGCTAAAGTATAGCCGAAACCTTAATCTGTCTGTTTCTCCAACCGCTGCTTTAATTATACCATACACTTGCTCAAGATCTATCCATAGCCCAGTTCCTAAACTTAACATAGAACTAACTCGAAACACAGGGTTTTCAGAGTGTAAAATATGCACACGCGTTCGTGTAAATAATTAGAAACAAGCTAGCGTGTCTTATAATGGAATTATTTTTAATAAATAATTCAAGTTTTTAAAAGACCTGCCATCAACCAAAAGACATAACTATCGAGGCCGTTACATACCCCAGCCACAGCCTGTTGTAAAGCGATCTCGCTGCCCTTTTCTGTAGTGTTGAAGGAGCTGATTTTTGCCCCCACTGCCGCGCTTGAATAAGCACAGATACCTTGCTGTGGGGGGGGGGGGGGGGATAAAAACAAGAAGAAATCAAATTTTAAAATTGGTCAATTTTTATGCATTTTATAAAAAAACCATTCATTTAAAGATGGAATTGTCACTTTTCCCCTAAGCATAGAAAGAATACCTAATAACCAATTAGTATTCACTTAACAAACTTAATGATACAGATGTTTTTCTAGAAATATATATATATATATATATATATATATATATATATATATATATATATATATATAATTCACTCAGTTCACTAATCTCTAATTTTCTTTATGTGATGCATCCAATTCACTAATCTATCCTTTCCTACCGTAGGCGTATAAGGATAACTGGCCTCTCTATCAATACCGTTATTTTGGATGACGTAAGCAAAAGCTTTCGACACGTAGCCACCTACGCATCCATAGTTTTCTGTAAACGTGAGGGCAATAAAAGCATATTAGAAAAGGACATTTTGTAAATCATAAACTCATATTTGTAAAAGCTTCACAATAAAACCGCGTTACTGCGTAAAAATACCCAAGCGAAAATTATACTTTAATTTTTTTTAAAAGTACAACGAAAATCATCTTCAATGTTTTGATTTAGGACGACGCGATTTTAAGATACTTATGACTATATAGTTTTTTTTTTGTAGATAAGCTAAAATAGCGCAGCCTTAATATACATTATTAGAATGAACGCTGTTATCAGGGGTGGTGTCCAAGTGGCTGGGAAATTTGAAAAGGGGCCCCAAACCCCAGACTGAACTTTTTATTCTGCATTTTTCCCTCTATCACAGTCTGAATTTTACGCCTTGGTATGAAGGCATGTTAAAATGGTTTTATAACAAAAACCACCTTCGTATTTTTATCAAACCACTAATAGAACTATTACATATGGGCCCATCTGGAAATTTTTTTACTATAATCGACTATATGTTTAATGTAACGGACCTAGATAGACGTGAATATGTACATAGTCAAATGGGCATAGCGCTGACCACACAATCCCTTCATGTGCCGAGGTCAAAGAAACAGGTAAACTCTACTTCACTTGACCGACGGATCGTCAAGTTTGAAAGGTAACGTTTTTATGTTATCATGCCCCATATTTGTATATCTTATGTAAAAACTGTTTTAGTTTTAAAAATAATGTTTTCCACTTCTTCCTACCTGTCGAGCAATCAACTAAATTAGATTCGGACAGGCTAACGAGTACGCCAGTGGCCAGGGCATGTTGACCTTCAATTGACCCGGTCGTGGAGAAAGCCCAGCATGACCCGCAATCACCTTGATCTTTGACATTGGTGACCACGCCCTTCTGTCGCCAGTCGACCGACGAGGCCAGATCGCGCTTGAATGAACCTGTGGTGACGTTACCGAGTTTCACTGTGATCCTGTGACGGTTCATAGTTTTGGTGAACTCTTCGTTGGTCTGATAAAATACACAACAAGTTTACTCGTCAGCGTAATCAAGAGGGAAAGTAATGAACATATTTTACAAAGATAATCAGTGTTGTAGCCTACGTGTATCTGAAGAATAAAAATGGAACTTAGGGAAAGAAACGTTGACACGTTTGTACTTTGGTTTACATTATCAGCTATCGTTATTCGTGTGGTTGAGCGTTAGATCTTAATACCTAGCACTGACGTCTCGAGTTCGGTTGTTATGTTCTAAAGATGATTCACTCAGCACTAACAGATACCTTACTCGTTTTTGGTGAAAGTACAGACTCGAGGTCGAAAACACAATCCCGTCGTATACTGAGGTAAAACAAAAACAGGTAAACTCTATTTCACCTGCCATGTTTTGTTTTCTTGATGTAGTTTATGTTACTCTGAGATGTTCAGGAAATAATCTATTGTCGACCCCAGCTACCTATCAGCATACCCCGGCTACCAATTTGCATACTTGCTGTCCTAAAGTATCTGCATAAATACCCAATTTTTCTTTACCATTAAACAAACGCCGCTGATAGGCGAAAACACCAACTATTTACCAAGTCAGAGAACAAAATCATACAGTCACCGTTGTTTTGACATTACATGAGTGTTTACCATAAATCTACTTCTCTTATCATGCCCACACCCTCTTACGATATCAGCGTATTTGGTTCCCCTCTCATATCGATTCTTCACAAATTTACATTCCTACCCCTACCTAACCCAAAGAATACAAGTATGTGTCTCTCCCCTTACAATATCAAAAATTCTATCTCCACTTTATATTTTATAAGCATATTTTTATTTCCCATCTAGTAAAATCAACATATTATTTCTCATATGACCATATTAACATATTTATCCTCCTACTCAACTAAACACAATTACCTCTTCTTACTGTATTGGCATATTTCTCCGTTTTACCATAGCAATATATTTATCTCCATCTTACTTTATCAGCAAATTAATGTCCCTATAAAGTATCAGCATATTATTATTTATTAACCCTTACAATATCAACACAGTTATCTCCAATCTCACCATATCAGCATATTTATTTCCCTTTACAATATACGCATATTTATTTCCCCTTACAATACCAACACAGTTATTTCCCATCTTACCCTATCAGCATATTTATTTCCCTTTAGAATTTCAGCATATTTATCTTCCATCTAACCATATCAGCTTTTTTTCACTAACAATATCATCACAGATATCTTCCATGATGCCATATCAATATATCTATTTCCCCTTACAATACCAACACAGTTATCTCCCATCTCACCATATCAGCATATTTATTCTCCTGCAGATAAAAGCTTTTGATCCCCAGCCTATACAGCTCGTTGTGTTCCTCGATCTTCTTCAGGTTCGTCTGCCAGATGTAACGACGGTACCCGTCTTCGAAAGATGAGTACGTCTTGTTGTGCTTGGCCTTGAAGATGAGCCAGTTGGCCTCCAGTGTGGCAGATGCCAATGTCAAGGTCAGGGCGAAGATAGCTAGCACAAACATCTGAAGGGCGAGTAAAATCACAGAGTGAACATACACGGTAATCTTTCCAAGTACGAAACAAAAGTTAAAGGTGTAAAATTGTAGGCAATTGCAGTTTTTTTATGCCTTGGAATTAGAAAAGCATTTGACATAAAAATGATTTCACATAACAAACTTTGAATACTATCCTGCACACAACGCTTAAGGCAATTATTTAGTTTATTGCTAGTTACTAAAATAAAGCGCTATCCTTTGCTATGAACTAACTGTTGTCACAGGCCAATAAATAGTATAGAAAGTTATAAGAAATAGAGCTATACATACCCTCGGTCTCTGTTGGTAGAGTGAGTCAGTGATTCTGATAGGGCTTGCTGAATTCAGTGCTTTAAGTGTTCAGCTCTTGTAGGAAATGAATTAGAAATTGAAGTTTCGGTTTTTCAATTAGTCCTGCGGTTCTGAGTAGCTAACAAGTTGGGGAGGGTGGGTTGTGGGGGATATTGCAGATATGAAAAGAATAAAGCGAAAAGAATATTGGAAAAAAAACTGAGAAATTATATTAATCAAATTTAAAAAGCTAGAAATTATTACTTTAATTAGAGGGTAATGTAAAATTGAGCAGAAACAAGGAAATAAAAATGTTTAGAGAACATTTGAGCACAATCGTTTTAACACAAGCTTTGATTGAACTAGGTTCCTGGTTATGTGTTTTGCTGGATGACATTTTGCAATTGACCTTTGACAAATTTTTAAAGTACTGATTTGTTTTATGCTAATCGTAGAGGCCAGACAGTGACGGGTGTGGGGAAATTGCGAGACGCGAAAAGCAAAATGGTGAGGCGGGAAAATGCGAGAAGGGCGCGAAAACGGTCGGTCACGTGACTTTTTGTCTCGCATTTTACCACAACTCGATACTTTAGCTGGGTGGTGTTGATATGCGTAGATTTCTGCGAAAAATTTACCGCACCTGATTTTCAGTGGTATTTGGTCCTGACTTCAAAGACGTTTCGTTTACATTGTTAAAACTTCCGATTTTTCCGTCGCTAGACATATTGATGATTTGTGAACTCCACCCATCTTTTGTGTCGACTTCGAATACCACCTTCTTCGAAAGCTGATTTACCGTCATTGAAGATCACCGTGCCCCAATCCGCTGCCGCCGCAAACATATTTTGTATTGTTGCATAAAATTTTTTTATTATAGCCGCCGCCAGTGTTGTGTGTGGGATGAACGAGGAGGTCAACTGTGATGAGAATGTGACATGTTGTGAATGTGGATTGGAAGAAGTAGCCAAAGAAAAATGTATAAATGGGAGTCTAATGAACTGGGTTAGATGTACTATGTGTGAAAGATGGTGTCACGAGGTGTGTTTGAGTAGTGCTAGGACTGTTTCAGAAGATTTTGTTTGTAAATTTTGTTTGTAATTAAAATTACTTAATAAAAAATAAATTACTCTTTTTAGAACTGTTTATACTTTTACACTTTTTGCAAGTACAACAATCCATGAATACATGTTGCAGAATATCTCTCCTGCTGACAAGATTATACCAGTTGACAATGACACATCTCACGTTTGTATAAACATAAGCGGGCTAGATTTTTAAAATTAATGCCGACTGAGACAGGATTTTCCTCTCGCTAACGATGTTAGGATTTTTAAATACATAGATCTAGATATAGATCTATCTAACTTCTTAGTATCTATCTATCTATATAATAAAATCTAGATAAAAATAACAACAAATAAATAAAGACGAAAAAAGCATGAACAAAAACGTTTTTTTTAGCAAAAAGTGTCTCGCTATTTACCCTTAATTCCGCAGGCATGTCTCGCATTATCTTCTCGCATTTTCCCGCCTCGCCATTTCACTTTTCGCGTCTCGCAATCTCCCAACACCCGACAGTGACGGCGATGGATATGTCTACATGACAGACTAACTATAGATAGGTTTCGTACAATGAGGAAGACAGTCAGAAGCGATTCTCTATGACATATTTATTTATAAACTTACGAGCCGACCCGCGGCGTATCAAACGCGCTGTTTAGTTGTTTTATTTTCTACTTTTCAGTAATTCATAATTTGTGAATTCGACTGTACCACTGCTGTCACTGAAAATATTTGCTTTAAAACACTATCAGTAAGTTGTTACGGACGATAACCCCTTCCCCCCACACCCTCCTTTCCCCCAACCTCTACCCCCCCCCCCTCGTAAAAACAGCCTCCTCTTAGCTACCTCCCCTAAGTTTAAAATCGTTTCAAACTAAATTATCTGCCCCTAATAGCCGTCATAAAACCCGGCTCTACGATTGTAAACATTTAGCGTGAACCACAGCTCATCAGACTTCCTAGAGAGGAAGAGAGGGGACTGCAAGGCGCGCTTACAGCATGGTGTTTTCTAACGTCTCCAAGAAGAGAATTATATATATATATATATATATATATATATATATATATATATATATATATATATATATATATATATATATATATATATATATATATATATATATATATATATATATATATATATATTTGTGTTACATAACTGTCCTCCCCTAGGCACGGCCCCAGTTACCTGTGTCAGGTGATCGGGATCTCCACCCACTTTCTGTGGCTATGGATGTTTGTCTGGACGTTCATCTGTACCTTCCACGCCTTCATCGTATTCAGGAGCACACGAGTCGTCTCCCTTGTCTCGTCCCATGAAGAGTTGTGTATGTTAACTAAACGAGTTGTCTTCTCCTTGGCTGTCCCAGCCAGCATCGTCACCACGGTCGTCGTGTCAAGCTTGGCGACATCGGGCTACACGACGATTGGATACGGAAATGGCCGATGTTACTTAAACTCGCCGTTTCTAATTAGTAGGTTTACATGTATATGATGTTTAATTCATGGTAATTTAAATAATATACAATGTAGAATATACGAATATAATAATACCTTATTTAAAAGAGGCCTAATTCTTCCCTTATCCAGTGGTATCTATGGTTGGCCCTCTGGCCATCATTGTCCTCTGTAACGTTGGCCTCTTTGTTCCAACTTTGATTACAATCTACACGACCCGGGCCATGATGACCGACAGGTACAATCGGGTCAATGACCTCTACATTTACATCATGCTGTCAATATCTACGGGAGCTTTCTGGACAGTTGCTGTCTTGTCTGAGGTTACAGATAGTGATGTTCTCAGGTAGGTTACAGACAGTGATTTTCTCAGGTAGGTTACAGTGATAATCTAATTTAGACGGGTTTTTTTCTTAGGTAGGCTAGAGTATTGTTTACAGGTAGGTAGGTTCCAGAGGTGTAAAGACTAAAGTTATTTTTGCAAAGGCAAATTACCTTTGCTGTTCGATTAACATTTTAATAATTTTCCAGTCATTGCTTCTTCAACTTCGTTCTTGATTTTGGTGTTGGAAGAAATCCCCTCAAACACAATTAAGTATGTGAGGCAATTGACTCCAATTTCAGCCTGCTTATCTTTTTGGATTTGCTTCCATAGGCTTTGTCCAACCAAAAACAAAATAAAGGCAGCAGCTGTTTGATTTTGGCGTTATCTTCCCTAGAAGAGAGACCTGTCCCGAGCTAACGAGCCTCGTCTGCCCGAGGGTTCAAATTCGAGACTTTTCGTTTTAGCAACGACGAGATTTACCAACTTGACCACGATTTATTTCAATGGCATTTAATGCTGGCAGGTTTCGCCACCCTGACCTCTTACATGTTCGATCTCAGTGTGTTTTTTAAGTCTCCTACACAAGCACAAGTAAAGTCTCAACAAAACCGAATAACTTTAGCACCAAATTAGAATATAAACCAGACAGCTAGAAGTAGTGCAACTCTTAAGCTCAAGAAATAAAGTACCAGATTGGAATCTAACCAATACAGCCAGTCTTTATAACGCCGTTAAGCTCAGAATTTTATGGACCAAAATGTTATAACTTAATATTGTACAAATTTTTAAATTCATCTGTCTATATATTTTTAAATATAAACAAGGTTATTTGAATGGTTTCCTGAAAACATTTCATCTAGAATTGTAGTTATTACGCATTCCTTAAAACTAGATGTTTACTAGTCTATTTAGTGTTTTGATGTTTCTAGAGTGTCGATAGAATGCCTCTATAAAGTCTCTACAATGCTTCTATAAAACTCTAGAATACCTCTATTGTCTCTAGAATACCCCTATATAAAGTCTTTAAAATGCCTCCATAAGTCTCTAGAACGCCTTTATTTCTACAATGCCCCTATGAAGTCTCTAGAACGCTTTTATTCCTACAATGCCTCTATAAAGTCTTTACAATGCCTCTATAAAGTCTCTACAACGCCCCTAAAATCTATCTCTATATATAATTCTCTTCTTTGAGAAGATAGAAAACACCAAGCTGTAAGCGCGCTCCCTACCACCCCCACCCCATACATTGTCTAGTGAGCTGTGGTTCACGCTAAATGTTTACATTCGTAGAGCCGGGTTTAGTGACGGCTATTAGGGGCTGTTAATTTAGTTTCAAACGATTTTAAACTTAAGGGAGGTAACTAAGAGGAGGCTGCATTCACGGGGGTGGGGGGATTGGTGGTTGAGGGGTGGGGTAGGGGTTGGGGGAAAGGAGGGGCTATCGTCCTTAACGACCATTTGATAGTGTTTTAAAGCAAACATTTTCAGTGACAGCATTGGTACTGTCGAATTCACGAAAGTCTAAAGGTAGTTATTGAACGACATGTTTATGACACGAAGTATTGGGGCCAAGGCATGTCTTCATATCAATGCAGAAGTAATATGAATAGCAGAGCTCACTGAGGGAGAAGGGGGAAGTTAAATATTTCATTGGTCGAAAGGTTTTCCATCTGCTCCTCAATACAAACATTTGAACGACGGATATCTCATACTACCCCACACCCTACCCACACCTACCACAAACCAACCCCACACGGTGTGTCGTGAGCTGAACGTGTATGTGTGTGTCCTTCACTCTGTTTTATTCGAACCGAAGCAGGAGTCCTAGCTGAGATTTGTCCTGGGACCTGTAATATTTATAACATCGGAATTACGTTTGTTGTAAACAATATTTAAGTCACTTCACATCCGGTGACCCAATCGTAAAACGCGTTCAGCAACTCACATATTCTGCCTACAGAAATAACATAACTGTTATGATAAAGTCAATGTACATCTTTGTTTTATAACTTTTTTTTTTTTTAAAGAGAAAACTCTGTTCGTAGAATAAAATATCGCATTAATTCTATAAAAACCATAATATTAATATTAAAACTTTAGTGAAGATAAGCATGAAAAGACGCACGGGGTCAAAAGGTCATTAAGGTGATATGATGACAATCGTTAGGAAACGAAATCTCAAAAGTCAAACAGTATGGACATGTTACATATTACGTTACAGTATGGACATGTTACGTATTTTCCATAAGGAGAAGATACCTGAGATTGAACGGGTTTAACA